GCCCGTCCTAGGCTACCCAATCCTATCCGAAGCATGACTCGATCTCCCTAACCGCAATTTCGGGGTCTGCAAGGGCGAGCATCCCTAGCACAATAATGGCTCCCCTCCTCTGTGTCCGCGATATCTCCTTTTTCTGAACACCGTAAACCTGCCATAGCTTCCCGATAACGAGCTCTGAGATATGACCAGCCTTCACCATGGTGCTGAGAAGCTGCTCTAGGGAGGTAAGTTCTGCTGGTGTGGCGCCAAATGTAAGGCTTATCATATTACGGGCGATGTAGTTGGCAGTGTCATTTGGGCTGAACGCGTCGGGGGCATCAAAAAAAAGCCCCTTATAGCAGTCAATCAAATGGTTCTGGACACCTTTCCCTTCATCACTGTTTCCTTTCATCCATATCAGGCGTAGCATTCTGCGTATCCCAGCTCGTGAGGTTTCTACTTTGTATGCATCCAATATGACAAAGAAGTCCATAGCTTCGATTATCTCGCTCTTATTCCGAGACGAAAGTAGTTGCAGGACTGTCTCGGACGCACTATGCAAAACTTCGATGAACTGGATAGCTTCAAGATAATATTTCCTGGTTAACTGCAGCCTAGCAAGCATCTCTGATGTTGCTGCTTCCTCCGCAGCTTTCTGAACTGCTGCCGCCTTCTCTTCCTCGGTCATCTTTGGGGCCTTGGAGGGAGAGTCATCTGGTATTTGGGTGGCATCGTCCAGCAGTTCACTGTCGACCTGGGTGTTTTCTATTCCCATCTCTGCCAGCCCGGGTGTTTCAGGTGGTGGTTTGAGAGCATTGAGTTCTTCTTCCACTGCCTGTAAGCGTGCATCCCAGTCCTTATACGATAGCTGGCCTCCGTGCATGACACTAAAAGGGTGCGTTGAGACCAACTTTCCAAGGAGTTTGATAGCATTTCGTCGAACATTACTACTTTTGTCTTCCAAACTCCGAGCTGCAAGCTTCGTTGCCGTTTGTCGCCGTTTTGGGAACTTCTGGTCAAGGTCACAAATCTTCATATAGACTTGAATGACACGGGAACGGCAGTAAGGATTCATATCGAGAAACCGCTCCTCCAGCACATCAAAGAAAGAGTTTATCTGGGTTTGGAAATTCTCACTCCTCTCTTCTTGCTTACTTAGGTCAGATATCAAATTCCCACATACTTCAATAACAGCGCAGCGGAGGGTATAGGCCTAGGGTATAAATTATCAGCAAATGCATTCAGCTACACATTCAGCTGAGACATACTTCACTGTCCAGCTGCTTCGCTAATAAAGTCATTTGTTTAATCACAAGCCGAGGCGCAAGTTCGGATAATTTAACTATAAAGGCAGATACCGATCTGGGACCTTTGGTATCGTTTGGATTGAATTCCTTATTTCCGACCTCTCTAGGATAAGAGTTAGAGACGAAGATACACCCCTTTCCATGATTTGGGATGTCTTCATGCTTACCTTAATATTTCGTCTGCTAGCTGGGGGTAGTCGTATTGCTCCGCAAGAATATGCAAGAATTCGGCCATAGGTTCCGAAAGGTGCTCAAAGTAGGTAAGGCTTTGTACGATAGATGTCTGCGCACCTGTAGGTAGATGGTTAGCAATAGGCTGAGGAGAGTAATGTGGTAGAGTAAATTACCAAACGCATGTCCATGGTGTTTTACAGCAATGCAAAGTACTTTGAATGCGTGCATGCGGATCGTCATACTCTTGACTCTCTGCTCGCTTTCCAGGATCAAGTATATAGAACGGGTAAAGAGATTGACAAAAGTATCTCGGTCTGAAGTTGTCACGAAGATCTTTGACAACTTCAATTTCAACACCTTGCACATAACCTCCATCCCGATCTGGATCTGTGCGGACGAGTCCCACGACTCATCCTTTGTACTCTTACTCCTTCCTGCCTTTCCAGTCCCACGTCTTCCTGGTCCTGTTGTAGGAGGCTTTTCTGCGACTTTTGCTTCGACTGAAGATAAAGACCATTGTAGCAAGAAGGCATACAACTCCAAGAGGTCCTTGTGCTCAGACAGAGCCTCTGGCTCGTCGGATTCGAGGTCATTATGCGTAATGTCAGCGAGCGACGCAAGTCCGGAGACAACAAGATCAAGAATTTTACTGAGAGATTTTGTTGGAAGAACAGGTGTAAGCCTAGAGTGACAACGGTTAGAATCTGATCAACATATTGGAAGATGTATCCTCGATGCTCACTTTAAGAGAACCTGTAGCGAGTCAAAGAACGAGCTTCTCGAGAGACTTGACGGATCCTCCGCTACGGCATCCACGATAGGATTCAGAATCTCTTCAATCAGCGGTAGGCTCAAGGAATCCGGGTCCAATTCGCAGTCCAACAGCTGGGAATCTGCTTCTGGCGTAGGAACCGAGGCGGGGTCGCTCAGGTAGTATTTCAACGCCTCGTTGAGGTCAAAATTTATCCGTTCGTTCATCGTGGGGGCGCATCGGCACCTAGCCGTCTGTAAATGTAAGGGTATTTTAGAAAGGCGAAAAGCGCAGAAAAGAGAAGAAGAAGAAGAAGAAGTTGATGTTTTGTTTCCTTTTTACCCTTTTGGGAGAGCCGGAGGTGGTGTAAGATGTGACGGTAAGTAATAAATTTTCCCGGCGTTTTAGTGTAAAATACAAGAGATAATACAATATCAATACATCCAACTTGAGCCTCCAAAAAAAAAAAACGCGTTAAAGTCGATATTTTACTTCGTTCCTATAGAATTCTCAGACCGTCAACAACTACCCATTGACTGCTCTATACCCATGGAAACCGTGCCTGACTATGCGGCGAGTCTACATTCGTCTCCCGAGGATGAGACTGGCAAAGACGAGATGAACGACTACTCGGACGAGGAGACGCGTTCGTTCGTTTACGAAGAGAAGAATGTGGCAGAGGATGAAAACTGCTCATCTTTAGGGGAGGAAGAAGAGGAGGAGGAGAAAGAAGAGGAGGAGAAAGAAGAGGAGGATATTGAGAGTGAACATGAAGAGCAGGACGAAGCTGTTCTTGAAGACATGAGAAAACTGCAGAACAACTATAAGCTGAGAGGAAAATTCAGGCTTATCAACCGCGTCGGAGAGGGTGAGCAGCAGTCTTTCCCCTTTGCCAT